TTTGGTAGAGCAATTTGCCTGATATCTCTCCTGTACACTTAATTTCTATAAACTCTTAGTAGGATCCAGCTATTCATTGAAGTGTGAGTATAAGCTGTTTTCCAGACACGTATGCTTGCTTAAGATATAATAGATAAAGAGGGAGGTCAAAGATATTTTGAATTATTTTCTCTTGATAGTAGAAGACCTTAATTAAAGAAAAAAATAACAAGAGCAGCAAAACCTTCATGCTTCTATCCAGACGCTAAATTTTTTCTCTTTCCAAAGGAACAAATGGTAGTACTGAAATGTGCAAAAGATGTTTATAGTATTTACAGCACTTACTTTTTTTTTGTTAGACAAAGCAAACACATTTGTGTTGGGTTCCTGCTTAGATGCCTCAGCATGGATCATTTAAATCACATTGTCCAGTGGGCATTTTTGTCAGTTTAGGGCCATCGCATATTTGTTTCGGTTTAGACCATGGGATTTTTATACTAAAGGGGAGGGAGGAGGCAAACAATTTGAAACATGTTGCAGACCCACAAACATAGGCAGCACAGGCTTATCCTTGCTTGCCTTGGTCTGCTGCTTTGTGTACATAAACATATAAAAAAATGAATATAACGATACTTGAGGTACCATTTGGTCTTGGTGAATTTGCTGTATGCTCAAGCAATAGCTTGATTAAATGTCTTCAGAATCCTTGAAGTGCAAATACAAGGTTCAAATATAGGAGGAGCATGATACTGAAGTACATTTACAATCAGTGAGAAGAGGAAGGTTGGAGCAGTAACTTGAGACCTGCAGTAACTGGAACTGCAAGTTTAAGCTCTGGATCTCACTCATTCTCTCTTTTTCTGGCTGTGAAAGTGCTGCTTTAGGTGGCCAAGCTGGTTTGGGACTGAGCTAAGGAATATTTGAGGATGAAACGCAACCCTGCCCCAAACTATACTGCCCATTCCAAATAAACAGGCTTGCCATTTCACTGATTTCGGCATTGTGTAGTCGTTCATGGTGATATACAAAAGCCTGCTTGTCTCATTTTTTGCTGTTTTGCTCTTTGATCTGACTTTGCATGATGCAAATAGCTGTGCAGTGCCAAGAGCAATACATGGTCCGTGGAAAGCCAGCAGCCTCCCATGACTCTGAGGAAGTGAAGTCGGACTGCTGGTCCTCGAGTATGGGCACCGTAGGTGCCAGCGCTTCAGGAATCAAATGTTTTGCAACAGCTGGTATATAAATAAATGTGGATATTGGCCTAAAGATAGGAACAGTGGAGGGAGCTTAGATTTTTTTAATGATTACTCTGTATTTAGGAGAGGTTTGTGCTAGAAATCCCATATTTCTCCTGCCCCGGAGCCAAAGAGGTCACACAACCGCTGCTGCATCCAGTGTTGGAATTGCTCTTGGCTGTCAGGCTGTTTTGCTGGGGAGGCACCGAGAAGCAGGAACACTCTGCCGGGGATGCTGCTGGGAGCTGAGTTTGGAATGTTTGTGTGATGCATGCACACTCCTGTCATGATAAAAGGACAGCACGGGCAGCTCTGTGGCAAGCTCTGAAATGAGACTGCAGGAATGTGTGTCTGTTTGTGCCAAAACCTGCGCTGCAATGGGAGGTTGTGCATCAACGATGCCCAGGAGGTGGGAATGTGCATGAGGAGGCAGGAAGAGTTACCAGGTACCCCTGGTTTCAGATGAGTTTGCATGAAGGTTTAAAATAACTGCTTCTTTTTGGAAGTTTGGGCATCTTCAGTCTTCATTTTGTCATTTTGTGCCATGCTGCTTTGGTTTTGGATTTTTTAAATCCTTGGGGATTGAGCTCTGGCTTGTGTTTCAGCTGAGCCCAGAAGGCAGGAAAAATGTGGAGTGTATTAATTGTATACCACATTTTCCTTACGATGATGTTGTTTTCTCTAGAGATTTGGAAGGAGGAGCATTAGGAGGTTGTCACTATGAGATTATTTTTTTTTTTTGGCATACTGCTGATTTAAAACTGTAATCTCTGCATTTCTCTTCACTCTTTTACCTACAGACTGCAGGGTACCCTGAGGCCAAGGGCAAAGCAAATAAAGCAGTTTTGGGTATGGCCTGTTCTGGACATGTCTTCTTTGATTATCTCAGCTTGCTCCGGTGGTTCACGTAAGGCTGCTGTCCGTTTCTGGGTGGCACAGAGCAGCCAGGGGTGTACTGAGTGAGTCTGGCCCCGTGTTCATCAGGCAACAATCACCTGCTTCATTTCTCTAGTGAATCGGAGGGAAGAGGAGGGATAAAATCATGGGCAAAGAAGTGCACAGGACTGAGTAACTGTGCAGAAAGGAATGACATTGAACAGTGCTAGTCGAGAGAAAAGAGAGATACTGCCCTTCATTTCTGAAGATATTCCACAGAAATCGTTGGTGTGGAATGACAGATAGCATCGTCAGTGACAGACACAAAAGCAAGGGGAAAAAAAGTCCCTGTTTTTCTGGCCACTGGAAGCTTGAGACCCTCGCCTCTTTCTCAAGTACAGCACAGTATGGCTGAAAAAGCAAGCGGATAATACCAATTGGCAGAGAATAAGAAAGTTGAAGTGTAGCCAAAACAGTGAAAGCTGGTGGTGGCTCTTTAAATGTTTCTATTTATTAAAAAAATATATACAATCACAAAGGGGTTTTTACCTTTTTTCTTGCTCCCTCAGTTTGCTGTGCTCTCTTCTTGCCAGGGAGCAATTCCCTGCTGTAGTTTTTCATCAGCAAGTTTGGACTGTACACCAAACACTGATACAGGGAAACTTTTTAGATCTTCTTCTTAAAAGCATTTTATTCACTCTTCTTTAATAATTGTTGGGGAAAACAGTTGAAACTAGAAGACTGGCATGTTGCATGCCCAAGCCATAGAATTCCCTTTCTCCATACTGGTGAAAACCAGATCTGATCCAGCAGAATTAGGAGTTATAAACAACCTCCCAACACCCCACTGGTCACCCTCTGTGGCCAATTACAGTTTTGAAGCTGGCATGTAAGTGTCAGATGTTTGGCTATTGCGTGTCTTTACTAATCTCCAACCCAAGTCAAACCCTTTGGCATGACATATCCTATAATTTGCTAAGTTTTCGAACAATGGCACATTTTGCATTTCATTTGTACTTTTCATCCAAAACCCTAAGAATACTCTCCCCTTTCTAAAGAAAGGAGTAATTAATCATCGGGACTGTGCTGGGTTCAGCCAGGAAAGGGTTAAATCTCTTTACTGTGTCTGCTAGAAAGCTGTGGGTGGTGGGGAATTGTATCATATTGTATCATATGTTTTATTTTATGTTGCTTTAATCATTTATTATTAGTAGTACTTGTATTTATGAATTTAGATTTAATTAGTAAATAGTTCTTATCTCAATTTTACGAGCTTCCTTATTTCTTTTTCCTCCAATTCGTCCCCTCTACTGAAGGAGGGGAGGGGGATTTGTGCGAGCGGCTTCGTGGTATTTTGCTAGCCGGAGTTAAACCACGACAGGGACTGTTTGTAAGGAATAGGGCTGGCTGTGGGGACAGAGTCATAGACAAAGTAAAGAAAAAAATGTCTCTATCCCACTGCTTTAATCACTTGGAGAAATATCTCCTGTACATATTATGATTTCAAACCATTTGAATCTTGTTTGTAAAGGTATCTTACACCAGTAGTTTTTTCAACACTTAAGGTGTGTTTTCACCGAAAAAGGTTTTTCTTGCTGGAGATGAACTTTTTAAAGGTGACATAAAGCTGTTTGTGCTCTATCTCTTATTTTCAGAAATCTCTTAGAATATTAGATCACTTACACATCTGTTTTTTGCAGGGAAGACTCTTCCAATTTTGCTTTAATTTCAGTCCCTTAGAATTATAAAAAAATAAATGAGAAATATTTCCAGGAGAGAGTACTTACTAAAATATGCAGGCAAGTCTGCATTTTAAATCCCGGTGTTGTACTTGTTGAGCTCCGTACATCCGCAGAATACAAATGTTCATCAGTGAGCCAAGTGCTTCTGCAAGTCAGCCGCCGAGCGACGGCGGGAGGATTCGGACAGCTTGTTTGATAAGCTGTTGTTGCCTTTCATCCCTTACCTCTCTGCTTTTCATTCTTTCCTCCCTCTTTCTGTGTCAGACTTTCTGCTCTTCCTCTCCAGATTGCTTCCTCGCAAGCTGCATTCCTTGCTCGTGGCCTTCCACACGTGCACAAGGTTTCGCTGTGGTTGTTACGAAGCTGGACTTGCATCCATCTGTTGCTTAAGGATGGTAATGCAGCGCTTGGTCTCATAGATAAGTTTTGGGTTTTAGCATGACAGTGATTTTGATTAATAAATGTGTGCCCTCTATCTGCGCCTGAGGGTTTAGATGTCATGGCAGAAAGTGTCTTTTGTGCCTGAATGAATGTGTATGTAAATCATTTTATGTCAGTAGCTTTGCTTATGTCCTGCCCCGCAAACATTCACAGCTGTAAGGGCTTCTGCATAATGGGCTTTTGAAGCCCAAGCAGTTCAAGTGCCAGGGGTTGTATTTACAGAGAAATTCCATGAGCCCGTCAATGACACTGTGAGCATCTTGACGCTGTCTGTTATTTGGGCAACGGCTGGTGGAATTCCCCTTACAGGAAGATCCTGTAAATGTATTGTCTGTCTCATACATCATTTTGAAGCCAATTTTTAAGAATTCTGCCACTGAGATACTATTTTCTAATAAATTTGTATGGGTTTGGAGTAATTTCTAGGAAGCTTCCTTGGAACCCTCTTGACCTCCTCCTTGGGCAATTCTCTAAGATTTTCTGTAAGAATTATCTCTAGGTGACATTGTAAGTGACTTGAGGATATTCAGAAGAGCTAACGAGGACCACTTCTGAGAGCGTGAGCCATCCGTGACATTGAGTTATAGAGGTTGATTGTCTTGGAGTTCTCACACACAGGCTTGGGCTTATCTTGTAATGTCCCCCGAAGGATGCGGTGGTGGCAGCGAAGTCATCTAATCTGGCTGAAATGACATTGGACTTCTCCTTTGTTTTTTATCCACTGTAGGTGTGCTCTGCCTGCCGGACAGCTTGAACCTTCACAAAGACCAGCAAAGGTCAAACAAGCCCGGGGAAGTGCAGATGTTCAGCCAGTCCGAGCTGAGGACCATCGAGCAGTCTTTACTTGCTACGCGTGTGGGGAGCATTGCCGAGCTCAGTAAGTATAAGGTGGTCAGTAACATTTGGGTTTCTTTCCTCAGGGCAAAGCAAAGCTGCTCACGCTGCCTGGTTGTGCAGAGGAGAGGAGAGGGGGCACATGTAATGTTGAAGGAGATGCTGTGTCAGATCTAGCCATGCTTACGCTCCATGGCCAGTTTGAAAGCTGAAGCCATAGGAGGAAGGAATTCTCATGCAGTCTCACAGCAATGCTTATGACTTGTTTACATACACTGCTCTCATTTTTAAAGGTGAAGGATGCTTTGTTTCATATTCCCTATGTTGTGTTTGAGAACACCTCACAGCTTGGTCAGTCTTGCAAATGCCTGTCGTGGGGGTGTCCTGCCTCATTTCACCAGGATGCCTATTTTGAGAAGGGCAGGCAAAAAGCTGAAGGTTGAAATAAGTGAAGGAAATATTGTCACAAATTTAAAGCAGGGCTAGTTCAACCCGTGTTACAGAGAGTCTTTCACCCTGCCTTCCCTTCTCCAGTTCCAGCAGGGAAAAGAACCACAACTCAGACCTGTACCAGACAAATTTGTGCCTGAAAGATAAATTATCATTTATAATAATCAAACTAATTTTTGAGAAATGTGAGAATCTGTAATATCTGTCAAAATCTGAAAGCTTTGGTTTCAGCACAGATAAATTGTAGGAGGCAAATGCCATGTGAATCCTCATGTGACATGGAGATAAAATTACCAGAAGTGACTTTTTCTTTTTCTTTATAAGATAGAAGCCTTCCAATCACATGTTTACAGTAGAGTTAGAGGTATCAAGTTATGGGTGGAAAAACTGAAATGTTCAGACCAAAGAGGTGTTGGGTTTTGTGTTGGTTTTTTGTTGGTTTTGTTTTGTTTTGTTTTCTGAGGTCTGTCAGTAATACTATAAATTTTTTTTTTTCCTGAAGTCTGTTATGAAACTTTGGGGAGAAATTGAAAAGACTCAAATCAATGAAGATTTGAGACCGCCCAGCTTTTACTGTTATTCTTATTACTGAATTATGTTATGTTACCAACATTGCAAAGAACTTGTGTAGGTATCTCATGTTCATTTTCCTTGCATTTTTGGTAGCAATAAGAGTCTCCTCTGTAGCTCCATCATATCATCAGGGCTCAATTTATGTGCCGTTCATGAGCCCTGTGGATATACCGTGGATGTTTGTCTGCAAGCCACAATATGAATTTCTGTTTTCAGCTTGCTAATTTTTCTCTGCTCTGGTGAAATGTCAACAAGCCAAGAGTACTTACATGCCTTAGCGTGAAGTGTTGCTCTGTCTTTGGAATCAGGTGTTTGGTGTTATTCAAATTAAGTAATTTATGCTTATTTATTTCACGCACATGAAACACACAACAGTACTGCCTGTATGCCAACTAAATTATGCATGATACAGCTTTCTTTCTTAAAGCACATATGGTTATGCTTTAATAAATAAGTAATGGGTAGATATTTCAGTGGTTTGGGTTTGTTTTTTTTTTTAATTCTTGATTTTTTTTGAACCTCTCTGTGCAACCCAGAAAGCCAGACTCCCTAATTACTGCACCCTCCCCAAAATTTGATTTCCAGAAATCTAGCATCTCTAAGTAGTCCTATCTTAGATTCAAATGCTTGGTTGATAGGGTTTGCTTTCTGTAAGTCTGTTGACTGCAAACACAGGCAAAACACTCTTCAGGGTGGCCAACTTGAAGAAGAGAGCGGATCAGTGGGAGTTAGATGCAGCTGTCAGAGAGGCGGGCACCTCCAGCATGCTGGTAGCCCTCCAGAAAGCCCTCTGGACAACCGTTGTGGGTACCTCCCCAGCCGCTGCAAGCAGATGCATGTTGTAGAAGAAGCAGGAGGAGGAGTGGTAATTGGCACAGCTTGCAAGGCTCGATGCTCAGTTGGGTAGAAATCCTTGTTGCGGAGCTGTGACGGTGCAGAGCACAAAACAGAGTAGTGAAACGTGGAGGGAGGTGCAGCATGTCAGTGGGCAAAAACCTGAATTTGAGGGAAAACCATGAAATATCAGGAAAATGGAGGGATGGGGAGTGCAAGGGGGTTTGGTGTTTGTTCAGTGCTTGCGTATCTGTCTCTGGCATCAGCAGAGGCTGCGACCCGGAGGTTACGGCAAAGCCTCTGCTGTGGAGGGAGGCTGGGGAACCGCAGCGTGGGGGCAGAAACGCTGAGCAGCGGGGAGAGGCCAGGGGGAACACCTGGGGATCAGAGCGTGTTGGTGGGGAGGGAGTAGGCGAAGGAGGATTTATTGTTGCTCCGGTGGTTTGAGGGAGGGTGGAGAGCTTTAGAAGTGGTGTTGTGGAGAATAAAGGTGATATGGCAAGCCCTGGCGTGGAGAAAGTGGGGTATGAGGGAACGGTGAGGTACATAGAAGGCCCTGCTCTTGTGGGCATGAGTAAAGGTGGTGAGGGAGACTCTGGATAGGAGGGACTTAAGAGGATAGCACTTGTGAAGAGAAGGAGTTGGCAACCAGGAGTGAGTGACAAGGACAAGCTTGGCCTGTTGGACTAACAAACAGAGTGGGCAGTCCCCATGCGTATGTCCACAATATCCCACTGGCTTGCAATACCCCAGGAGCCAGGACTTCATTTCTATTCTCTTCAGAAGAGCACAGGAAACAAGAGCAAAGAGTGATCTTGCAATAAAGCAATTTAATTTTATCTCAGGGAAAAAAAAAAAGGCAATTCTAATTGAATGAGATTTCCTATAGTTTATCGACATCAGTAATTAAAGTATTGAAAGTACGTGGAACGACTAGAATTAAGAAACACCCACATGTGGAGGAAAGGCTTCCCCTACTCTCGGTTCCACCCAGCATCCTTGCACACAGCAGTGTGGCTGGTTGCTACACTGCTGGAGGCTTTGAGACTGGGAAATCAAATCTGTCCCCTGGAAGGTGACATCTGGCAAACAGGGCCTGTTTACTGCCCAGCACCTTAATTTCGGCTCAGATCTTCTTAGCTGCTTCGCAGTCCGTCCCACGTGGAAAACAGATTCGCAAGATGAAAAGTCTTGTGTCTTGTGAAGGGCAAGGTGAAGGTATCACGTGATGGCCCTCGTTTGTCTGCTCCCGTTGTCTCCACATACGCTGTCAGTGATTAGGAAACACTGTTTAGGTGAGCTATGTCTCCCTGAGGGGTGACAGAGGTGAGAGAATTTGGGAAAGATGGGATGGTGAGACACAGCCATAGAGGGAGGGCGGCATCCTCTGGGAATGCTGCAGAGGAGGAGGTCAACCCAGGCTGCCATTGAGGGGTCCTTATGGCCAGGCAGGTGCAACTGGACTTGTGGATGCTAGTCCGGTCCCCCGCAGATCCTGCTTGCCTGGTGCTTCTGCTCTCATCTCCTGGGCTTAGCAGGCAGTGGGTGCTGGTCGTCGCTGGGACAGCCCTGCCCTGCCTGGTGGCACTGGGGCGAGGTAGTGCCTCTGGCACTGGGGCACTATCCTGAAAATAGGAAGAAGGGATGATGTTGCTGACTTAGGGGAAAAAATCAAAGGAAGGTTTTTGTCTCCAGGACTTAGGAGGAGAATGTAAATAGAGACTTAATTCTGCAACACAATTACAGTGGTAACGCGTGATTCCAAGGAAAAGGCTTGAAAAATTAATGTGAAACCTTATTCATTAAAATATAATGAACATGGCACAAAGTTAAAGAACAACAATAAATCTGGCCTATGTTATATTGGCATTTAGTATTCAGGAATTGTAATTGCCTGCTACAGTGTGTTTTAAAATAATGTAATTTCATTTGAAATGCTTATTATATAGAGAACACTGGGAAGAACTGAAGCACAGCAAAAATAATAGGATTTTAAACAGTAGCCAGATAGTATTTCATTGTTTAATCTTAGGGAAAATATTTCACAAGACTTTTTTTTTTTTTCCCATTTTTCCTAAAGTTTCCTGTATTTCCAGACCAGACCTAGAAGACAATGGCATTATTCTCTTTTGCCTTCAGGCAGAGAAAAATCAGTATACTGAATAGAAAAAGAGATCAATATTAGGGAGAGATTTGGCTATTGAGAGATCCCATAATACTGCATTTTGACCTTTGAGTATTTTTCCTAATTTCCTTATATGCATGTTTGCAATCCACGTTTATGTTATGTTTAACCTCATAATGCTGCAACACACCTATTCATCACCCATCTAAAAATACTGCTGCCCGCTGGGAGGCCAGATGCAAGGAGGGATGAGGCTCACAACTGGAGGTTGCTGGTGTTTTGCTGGACGAAGGAGCGTACCCTCTTCTCTTGCATGTGCACCTAGGGGGTGACAAGGAAGAGCAGAGCCTGGCACCACAAACTATATTCTTCCCTGGCTGCCCTGGGATGAAGACTGTAAGGTGTTAGTGTACGGCTGAGGTGGGATAACCACCCCTTGCTGAGGTGCATGTGTAGGGCTGCAGAGAAGGGTTGTGTCTCTCGAGCCGCACAGAGGAGTAAACTGTGGCTGAGGATGTCCTTCAGTGTCTTCACATGCCTTCAGGTTAGAACAGAAAAGTGTTTGGGGCTTGCTTGAATATGGACAGTCCGCTGTGGCTTTCCTGGGTGAGGTTTGCCACCCAGTCTTGTGCAGATCACAGTGATGGGTAGTGGTGGCATTACTCTGGGTGTTAACACGTAGGCAATTTCATTTTAAACTAGGATAATCTGAAGATGCACACGCGACTTAACACTGGTGATCTCTGAGCTTTTTAGCCTTTGAACCGTGTTTGAGTTAGAGCAGCTCCCAGATGTGATGTTCAGGCCAGTATTTCCTCCACGTCACCACTCAGATCTCAGCAAGAGTTTCCTTTTTGCCATTGGAAAAACGCCACCCTTCCCCATCATCCTATCTTTGTCTCTGCAGTGCTGAATGTATGTATTTCTAAAATAACAGCCTCCCAGTAGATCTTGGCACACTTCTAGGGATGAAAGGAAGGGTTACTGCTCATGTGTAAGTAGGAATGTGATCGCACATACCAATACTGTTTTTCATTTCTCCTCGTAGCCCCAGCTGAGGA